GATAATACAGAATTAAAGTATTTCATCTAAGAAAAACATACAGTAGCAGTTAGCATAAAGGCAACGTTGCTAGAACGTAACTAGATTCCACCGTTGCCGATAGTTACTGCACGAGATAGGGCGTAGTTCGATAAGTCTATCAGCTCAATAGTGGACCCACTCAAAAAAATTGTTTTCGATGACGGGCACTATTACAATAATCCCTCACAGGGAGTGCGATAGACTTACCTCCACGTAGTGCACCCTGGGCAACGTATACTCATACGACAGGTCTATTAACTGGCAGTTGACTTCTGACCCCACAACCCCACTGTATGTCATATTTGACTACCTCCACAATACTCACCTCACCTTTATTTGCATTTGTGTCTCTTACACCTTTCAAACACTATTCTGCCCCCCCCCCCTCTCGACTTTCTTCACTTTGATTTTCCTTCCACTGGTAAAGCCTGAAGTCAACTAAAGGGATCATGATAACCGTCAAAATGCCTGCCATTTGGTATAGATAAACACTCCCTCATTATCCAAGACCGACTCGAAACTGGTAAGATCAACAAGCCATGTTCAAATTAGTTAGAAAGATGGCATCCCAAACCCTATTTTTCCGAAGCACCCTCTAATTTAAATGCACATACATTGATACATTCCAATTAAGCCATCCGTCTACACGATTTAAAGTTAAGCATTACGTATTCACACTGATGTTCCATAGCTTCAATGACTTGTCAGAAGCCAAGCACCTAAACAACTAGAAGAAATAAGACGAAGAGTTACAGATAGGATTAGACTCTACGCACTCATTTATGCCGTAGGACCCTCACAAAACGCCGTGTCCCACAAATCCACATTGCAAAGAAATGGCTATGGCGAAACCAACACCAAACCACTTAACCGGTAAAGTTAGAAGACTTCACTACCCATGTGCCGGTACATTCAACGCACTAAATTATTCGGGGGATAATCATAATTTCCAATAGCACTACTCCAAATAACACATGGAGCAGTTTATCTTAGGATAGAATTAAGGCGCACTGCTGGAAAGTGAAAATCGGCCCTAATGATCAACTCTGGATGCAAAAAAGGACAAGTAGATCAGCATTAACAGTACGAGCAACTTAGCAACCAATAATTAGGCTAAATAAGAAACGGGCATTCTTTGGTTGTAATAAGGAAAAGGAATTGAACTCGGTATACGCTAACTCAAGAATAAAAAAGCAATCTTTCACAATAAATAGGACAAAAAATATGACAGAAAGGTTTAAATTTCACCTCTTTACTTTATATTCAATATAGACAATTACGCAACAAGAGCTGAAGCGGTGGAACTATCATATTTCCAATTTGGTGGTAGAACCCGCTTTCTTTTGTAATAACGCACAATGCGATGGATACGGCTTTCAGTGAGGATAAGTCGGTACTTGCCGTCCTTATCTTTGCGATTTCTTTCAAGATGCTTGCGGATAGCAACAGCCTTTTTAATTAGGTGATACAAATCATTGGGAATGGCTGGAGCGAGACCGGCAGTTTTAAGAATACGAACGATCTTGCTTCCGACAAGCCAACGAACCTGATTAATACCAAAGCTATCACGAAGGATGACACCTTAAAGAGTTTAATTAAGTTATTTCACTTACCAATTTGGGATGGAGTCATACCCTTACGAGCAAGCCTGTAAATTTGTTCTTTAACCTCATCGGCAGACATTTTCTGCCATGAAGGCACAGAACGACGATAAGGGAGAGCACTTTGGGAAATACCCTTTCCATGTCCATATACGCGTCCCATTTTCAGATAGCTGCGGAACCTACACGCTATTCGGGTTAATCAAAGTGTGGCAGTGGGTAAATATTGTCATTTAAAACAAATGAAGTGAAATGTTTAATTAATATCAATTATGGTGTAGAAAATAAAAAATACACGGACTTATTGAGATAACTATTTAATTATCCAAATATTGATTACATAGACTTCGATTAGTTTTGCAACTTTTGAAATTCCAAGATATACCATATACTTAAGCACTTTTATCAATAGCTATATGCTCAAATAAGTTTGTCGCTTAATTTTTAAAAGATTTTCATATCTTTAAACGGAAGACTCAAGAAAGATTTTCAGACGTTTGTCATTGGTTTATCAATATTTTTTATGTTAATTATTATTGAAATGCCTATTTATCCTTTTTAATGAATATGACAGCTAGAATGTTTTTTGGCTTATATAATTGTAAATATTATTGAATAATTAATGTCAAATTGCAGACTCTATGATAGTTACCATTAACCCCTTAGTTGACTTCGGGTCGAATATGACATACAGTGGGGCCATGGTGGTCTGAGGTCGAATACTAGTCAATAGACTGTTTTGCGACAAGAGTATATGTAGATCATAATGCTCCAGGAATAAGTAAGTCTATCTCGACCCCACATTCGTAAATATTGTCTACTGCATCTCGGATAAAGTTTGTCAAAATTATATTTGTATCAAGTTCTTTTGTTAAGAAATTCTAGTTTTATTTAGATCATTAGATCCCGACAAAGAACAAGTCATTTATTTAAATGTGAAAAAGTGATAACAACAAGAAACTTCAGCCTATTTATGTAAACTGAAAGTAAAAAATAAACCAGTCTGATATCGCAATTTTTTCCAAATGTTGGAACAGATTGTTTTATAAAATTTTAATAATTTTCAACCGAATTATAAGCACCTCTATTAGTTTTAACACGTCTTTCCTTAAATACGAAATGCAAGTTATATTGAGTACCATTTCAGACATAGTATTGGAAGATAAGTCTAGATTGATTGGTAATCAGGTAAACGGGTGACATGTCGATATCGCCTATCTCATAGCGGTGCTAAAACCAAGACATCATTTACAGAAAGAATTTTGGTTGCCCTCTCGAGTAAATTAGTAATCACACAAGAATATACGTATTCACCAAAGAAAACACAAGTCTCTTCACTCTAATGGCCAAGTTGGAGTTATTATAAGACAATGATTCCTAAATGAGTTGTCATTTGAAATAAGAAGTTAGATAAGGATTATGACACCGATAAATACTCATCTAGATATCAATTGAAACAAACAGAAGGCAAATTCTTATCTGTGTTTTGAAGCAATGTCACGTTAGGTTTATTACAATGCTTGAGAAAGAAATAAATCTGCTCATTCAAATAATAATTCCTTTTAATTGTCTTTGTAAAATTTATTTTTTTATATCAAATGGCAGGCGTCTTGATGGATATCATTAGCCCTTTAGTTGACTTCAGGGTTCACAGAGGGGAAGGAACAACAAATTGAAAAAAGTCGAGAGGGAGGAACAGAAGAGTATTTCAAAGATGTAAGAGACAAACACAAACGTAGAAGAAGGTGAGGTGAGTACTGTGGAAGTAGTCGAATATGATATATAGTGGGGTGATGATAGTTTGAAGTGAGAAGTCAACTGCCAGTTAATAGACTCTTTTGCCGTATGAGTATACGTTGCCCAGGGTGCACCACGTGGAGGTAAGTCTATCCCACACCCCGGACTTTGAAAAATGAAATGTTGCAGTCTTTCCGAACTTAATGATATGCAGATAATTCTATAAAATATTTTGTATCATCAGCATATCAGTAACACTTACCAAATTGACAGTGTTTTGTATATGGTTTTCATAAATATCGGGAAAATGAAATGTTATTATTATTAAAATATTAAAATGAAGGAATTTAAATACATATTTATCTTGATAAGTTTGAAGAGTAAATCCATCAATATGCACAAGAAACGATTTACCTACACGTCACGTTTTAGCCTACAGATATCAATGCGCTAATTTTGAGTGGGAATGATCCGCTTGGCGGATTATGTCGTTATTGTCGGATATGACTTCGATAAATCTGGTACGCAAATAAGTTACATTACTTAGCATTATATTTAAATCTTTTTTTTGCCTGGAAACATCTTAAGTCAAATAGTTACTTTGATAGTATATTTAGCTAGCTGTTTTCATTATACTTAAAAGCACAATAACTTATCATCTCCAAAACACTAAATCGTTGCAAAGCAACTCTAGATTTCATTAAAATCTAATTTAGTGTTCTTGGGTTGCCTCTTTATTTCAGTCATTTTTGAATAATGCAGTACAAATTCAACATTAATTTGTTATTTCCAATTTCAGTCGATTTCGAGAGCCAGGGTCGCGTTTTGCAACGTTTTCCTACCAAAGAGTGGAAAAATTATCCATACGAGTTTCATGTTGAGTCGGTATGTGACCTCCTATATATCCTTTTTTCAATTAACAACCATTTTGCATTTACAATAATTGAAAATGAATATTTTTCTCTAGTTCTGTCAACCTTGTGGATGGCGTTTGACTGCAAATCGTCAGGCACCAACATTTTTCGTTGCTTATCTTACTGGTATTGATGGGAGTCATTATTACGCCGCTTGCCTAACCTTCTACGAGGCTGTCTCAAGTCAACAGCAGAACATTATCCAACATCGCTCTCATGGCAATCGTCCCATCACCAATTCAGTGGAGGTTCATCTACTTCAGAATGCTTTAACTAACTCTCCCACTGGAAGTCTCAGTCCTCTAGGAAGTGATGAAAACTTTGCCGCTATGACAGGCAACTCTGCTGGCCATGGTTCCTTAGTAGATCCCAATTTGGTCCGCCCCACGGAGCTTTTTGCACCAAAATGTATTGTCCTTTTGGCTCGTCATCAACACTTCAAGGTTTTGCAGGTAAATTTCTGCTTTCTATGTGCTTCCATCAAATTGTGGAATATTTTAATCTCGGTTTTGCTATTGCAGAATTGCCTGAGCATACTCTACACAACATTTATGGATAGTCTGAATGAGATTGATTTGGAGGAAATTATTGGGAATATTGTTGGAGGAGTTGAAATCCAACCTATTGGTAAGTCGGCATTTATTAAGATATTTTGTCCTTTTGATGGTGAAAATAAACATTTCAGTCTCTTAACTTTATGCTTCCTCACCTATTGTTTAAATATGGTTCTCATTGAATGGTTAAGTCTGTTATGTCGGCTTAACGTAATGCTGTTTGTTCTTCAAGACCAGTTAGTGGGGGATTCAGACGGTTAGTATTTCTTTAGGTAATATGAAGTCGTTCGTGGCTTAAATTTTTTTCTGAGGCTTGTCCGATGTGCGTTTTCTTATCTGCAAGTATTGATAGCACACAGATTTAGGAAAATCAATTACTAATTTCCTTTTTAAAGATATCATTTTAATGAAATTTGATTATATAATCTAAGTTGTGTCCATTCTAAAGTATGGGGTTCATGTATGTACGAAAGCGTCTTCAATGCTTGTCAATAAGGAATTAAATTTGCGAAATTGAACAAAACGAAACGATAATTTGTATTTTTTCTACTTGACCTTTGTGCTTTCTAAAAGTTATAACTAGGGAAATTGTCGCTCATTTGCAGGTTTTTCTGTCACATAATTCAGATTGGGATCTGATTATTGTTATTTTAAGCCAATAGATTATATAACTAAATTGAAAGGTAAAATTTGCAAAGAAATGAAAACAGATTGCAAAGCTATGGGATCTTTGTCTTAAGATAGATAGTTCCTGTATAACCTGATTTTGGATTGACTACTTTATTCGTAAGATTTTCCTGAATTAAGCACTTGAAAGTATCCCGTTCAGTTAAACCTCATCTGTAATGGCACTTGTATGGTAGTGGCAATTATTTGTTCCCAAAACTGTTCCGTTTTAGGTTTATTATTTTACTCTAGTTCTTCTAAATTTTCGTAAAAATATCCATAAAACTTCAAGTGAATTATTAACAAGAGAAAGTGTTCGACTAAGCAATGCCACTTTTATCCTCAACTAAATGCTCTTGATTATTACTGTGTTGAGGTTGAGATGGTATCTTAATTCATTTAATCCGGCAAAAATCGAGTTAGTGATGCTACCTCTTTGCTCAAGCTTTGGTGGTTGAAATATTTGTCTCCATGGCATGTCCTAATAAGTAATCTAAAGGTCATTCTTAACTTAGGAAGCTATCTTTCATGTAAACGTCTGGCTAAGTGTCCTTCTAATCTTCCTAGTTGTGGGTGCATTCTTGTTCTAAATCATTCTATTAAATGGCGCACAATAAAGGGACATTAAAACCTAATGTGTGCATGATTACTCTCTAACGTTAAGTGTGGAAGTGTACTTCACTTGTTTTTTTTCTCCGACTTCTGGTTTACCATGTGTTTAATCAATTCTCTCAATCTTTGAAAAAAGATTTTTTTGTTTAACTGTCCTTCTAATTCATTGATTGCCATGCTTTGGTTGATTTATTAGTTTATCAACCCAGAGGTTTTACACTTATTTTTTGCTATTGGTTTAGTATGCCGTATATTTAGTGCCATTAATGATTCAGTTTGTACTATTCATTTGCATGGAGTCTGGCCGACCAGAAGCTCGATTGACTTAAAATCCTTTTATTCATTGGCGCGATGTTTGTTTAATAATAGGCAACCGATATAAGAGGAATACATGAAGCTTCACTGAATCCTAGATTGGCTAAAACTCATTTGTTCAACTATAATGTCTTAAATTCTTTAGAATTGATTCATAGCTTAAATGATACATGCATTTTCTCCTTAGGCGGCCCAAGGAAGACTTTTACAATTGGAGCCAATGATCGACAGACAATTCAGCCCGCAAAATATCGAACAATACCGGTCACACGTTCATCTGTGTCTAGTCTCTTCAAATATCTAGGTAGGAAATTCCAGACAAAAAATTTCCTGTCTCTTCCTTTGATCACCTTGTTATTATTCGTATCTGACTTAACAGGAGGCGGGTATAGGTATTTTGAAAAGAAACAACTATTTCACAAAAGCAATTTTCTCACCTAAAATTAGAATTTCTGGCTTTGAATTCTTTCACTTCATAAATCTCGATCTCTCCCGCCTTCGTGTTTTTTGCCAACTGCTTATCGCTTGTTGCCTCAAATTTTGATTCCCAATTTTAGCCAATAGGGGAACTTTGGCTAGTTATGTACCTAGAACCTTGCTCATTTCTTTTCAATTACGATATTGTGATCATGGGTGTCCTCCATAGACTTCATCTCTAGTCCATAATTACCATCTAACTATCCGGGGGTGATTCGGAGTCACTAAATTTTAGCACGACTTATTCTCTGTTATCTCACTCGATCTCAATTTGTTATTTTTTGTCTTCTTCACGCTTTCTATCTTTAAACCTGAGCGGGTAGGTAAATCGATTTTTCTATGTCCAGTGTTAATCCCTTTAATCAGGCACCTTTGATTCCCACTGGACCATTTCCGAAGCTGACTTGTCGTCTGCGTCATCAAGATTGCCGTATCGCTCCCCCCCCCTTTACAGTGATTCATTTGCGGTGATTATTTTTTGAGGTGACTTGCAACTGTTGTGAAGCTCTAATGTCACCTCATATAAATAAGATGATTAATTTTGAACATGATGTAGAGTATTGGTGTCGGTGCGAATAGTTCGGATTTACAACAGGATATGTTTTGAACTTCCTGAGATTCGAATGTAAGCAAGGGAGAGGATTAGTAAATGGATCCTTTTTGTGGATAATCAGTCTATTCGTACTCAGTGAGCTTCTGTATTTGTCAAGTCCGTGAGCACCTAACATTACTCTTTCATAGCTTGTGTCTATTTATCAGTGGAAAATGTTTCCAACCCGACACTAAGTAGTTGTTCTTATGATCTTAGCCATCACTGCATAATTGTTATGGCAAGTAAGGTAATAACCTATCTTTAATTGTCCAGACCTAGTAGCAAATATACAGAGAGCTTGGGGGTTTAAGGTGACGGTTTTCTTATAAAGGAAATGCTTAGCTTTTAAAGATCGGCTACTTGGTGAGCCAACAGTCACTTCACACATGGTTTTACATTTCCCGTCTTATATTAAGCCAATAGGGGATAATCCATTCAAATGCACCGAACAATTTTATTCGTCTTCCTGGTTATGTTCAAAATACTTATCCTGAATAGAGAGGAGACATTTGACAGACAAATAGCGTATTACTTATCTATTAACACCCTTCCCTTGAAAAGCGTCAACCAACAAGGCCCATCAAAGCACTTTCACGCAACTTTGGGTCTATGAATTTCCCCATTTTCGGAGTTAGGATATCTGAACAATCGGGGTTTAGAGTAATAAAGACAGCAAAAATCGGTTAGAACTAATTTTGAATCCGCGCAAGAATGAAATTGTTCTTATGGTGGCCTGGTGCTACTTTGATATACATGATTTCCTCACATAAGATTTCCGTTTACTCTGATGTCTTCGCAACAGTTTTGCCACACTTGGTAGCTATTGAAACTCTAAATCTGAATAATTGCAGCTATTTTTCAAAGTTTAGGAGTTGTTGTGATCAATATATGACCCTGCCCACGGACACGCACTCATGAACTTGCTTTTTCAGTGCTCCATGCTTAGCAAAAGCAACTTCTCTGTGAATCAAACTCTTATGGTATTTGTCCTTTGTTAATATCTTTTACGCTGCTTTATGTGTGTAACCTTTAGACAAATCCTGCCTACACCCCTGTCTGTGTTTTTCTTTATGGCGCTTTTAACATTTATTTACGGTCTTGGTCTCACAGGGCGAGGGAGGGAGGAAAGGATATCGCTTTCGTTATAACCTCGCGAAACCATATTTTCATCACTGTCGGTTACCCATTAATCACCTGATTATAAGGCACTGTGGGTGTCATTAATTGCCCAGATAAGTTTTCATTCTCTGCACACCGTTTTATGCCAATTTTATGCATTTGTATATGATGTGCCATATGAAGAGAAGCGAAGCAATAAATGATTAATATGAGAAATCTAAAATATGCTATATTATTAACGCATAATATTGGCCCACCTCCCCTACATTATCTTCTACGATATATTATCGTTTTTGTACTGCTAACTGTAAAGGAAAATTCTCCAACATATGCGGCTAAATTATCCAACCAACGTTCCTAAAATACAACCTGGGAAAGAGCCTAGTGCGTCTTTTTTGATAAGTGTGAGAATGGGATTATCGCTTATGAGGTCTATTTGCCATCAAAGGTGGATATCTTGGCCATATGGAGTCCTATACTTGACTTGAAAGGTTGATCAAATCGAGAGTCCATTGCAAATACTTTAGATGGCACTTTTACACTTAAGAAGTTGATTGACCTTAGATTTAATTAGCTTTTTTTAATATTTCAAACCCATAACGGTTTGAATTGGCATAGTTTACTTTTGTTTCCAGGTTATTTACAGCCTTAGCTCTTTACGAATTGTACATACTTGACGATGTGTGTATTAAAACGGAGGTGATCGGTGTTGAGGTGTCGGGTCATCCCCTATTTATGGACAAATTCGAAAATTCTAGTCATTTCAGCTCTCCTATGTTAATATCTTGCAAGAAATTTCTGCTTTTCCAAGTAAACGAAATTGCCGAGACCGACCACCCAGTAGTTCTGCAGCCCAATTGTCAAATTTTAATATTTGAATGCTGCAACGTGAACCAACCATTTAGTGAATATTATAGGGCCAAAATTCACAAAAAAATCAAACGTTTTATAACTCTTTGTTAGTATCACATTCTTAACGTCTTTTAAACTCTCTCGCTCTCTTCTTTATCTCTTAATGGATTGTTGCCTAGTTTCATCTGCTTTCCTACAATAAAAAAGTTCTTTTGCCGTGCATTGGGTGGAATGATATAAAGTAGCAATGTATTTATCACTTTTCTATATATACTTTTTTTCCAACAGTTGCATTGCTCTATTCTGAGCTATTTTTGTGAAGGAGGTTTGAGAAATGATGTATATATATATTTATACACATATAAACCAATTTTATAGTGTGAAATCCTCCTCGTAAAAAAGACACAAGCATTTGGATTTCATTTATCATACAATAGAAAGCAGGATTTTAAAGAAACATGCATTTTTCTTTTAAATTTTTTTTATTTTATTATCTTCTGGTTATTTGAAAATCAATTTGCATTGTTCCATTAAAATATTGATTTACTTATTTCAAATGGCAGGCGTTTTTATAATTGTCATTAGCCCTTTAGCTGACTTCGGGCTTCACAGAGGGGAGGAGGAACATCAAAGTGGGAAAAATTCGAGGGGAGGGGCAGAAGAGTGATTCATAGGTGTAAGTGACACAGGCAGACAGACACAAAGGTAGAGAAAAGGTAAGATGAGTACTGTGGAGTGGTGTAATATGACATAGTGTCGGGTCATAGTAGTTAGAAGTCAGACGTCAACTGCCGAATAATTGACTTTTTGCCGTATGAGTATACGTTGCCCAGGGTGTACCACGTGGAGGTAAGTCTATTACGCACACCCCTCTATTAAAATATAATTCATCCAAAGAGGGCATTGATGATATTGAAGGAACAGATTAGGTGAAGTATACTTATTAGATTTGTAGATCCTTGTCTTTTTTACTATCCACTTCCGAATGCTGATTATTTCTTCATTTAACTTGAGGTTAACGCTTTCTTGCAGGTATCGACAATGTTCTTCTAATGTTCACGGCGATGTTAAGTGATCAGAAACTCTTAGTCTGCTCTCAAAGTCTGGTTCGGTTGACAGAAGCTTGTCATGCTCTCACTGCAATCATCTATCCACTCAAATATGGGTGAGTAATATGTACCCCATTAACTTTTCGTCTTTACCTTTTGTGTTTATCACGTACTTGGTTGTGAGTTGTTTGAGATCATTCTTACTCACATGTTTTGTATAGTCGAATTACATCTTCTTTGCTCCCTTTTCGTTGTCTATTTCTCTTCTCCTTGGTAAAGTTTTGCTCTTGCCGGAGGGAAAAAGCTAATGTAGAAGAAGAGGAAGAAGTCATACTTGGCAATGATGTAGAGAGAAATCTCCACGTCTTCTTTTTTGTTTGATTTCTACATCTATGTGTGCATCCGTGTAAGTCTATTTATAAACGCTAGCCATGACTGTGCTAAGCGAATATCATTTTCGTCAGGGTGAAATCTACAATGCCTCCTCTAGACAAGTGCTTTGAACACTTTTCAAAAAAATGGGTCTGATAAGTTAACGAGTCAATAATCCATGTTAGTTGGTACTGATCTATTATAAGGTTTTATTCTCTAACTGAACTTTGGAATAAGATTTCTTAACTTGAGTTAATTTACCGTGGTGTTAGTATTTTATGTTCTGCCTGATTGCATGTGCATAATGTAGGAGAGCGACGCCAAAAGATGAAGAAACATTAAAAATTTCTTATTTAGAAATTATCCCTTAGGTCTAGGATATTATGTGCCCTTGGTTATCCTTATCGGTAGATGGTCCCCAATCTTTCTTGAACATAGATACTTTGCGGCTTTGCTATATCTTAACCTCTATCTAGCTAATTGACATAGGCCAGACATATCTATTCCAATGAAGTGTGCTGGTTAAGGTCATCCCCTAAATCTATTTACTCGATATACTAGCTAATTTGATGTCTTACTCTTTATAATTAGCATGTGTCCACTCTTGAATGGCTCTTAAATTTGCTCTCTTCTCGTTCAGCAATACCTATGTCCCAATTCTGCCAAAAGGCCTGGTGGATTATCTTAACGCCCCAACCCCCTTCCTCTACGGAATTCACGCATCCTATTGTCACCTCCTTCCTGACATTGTGAGTATTTTAGGATGGCATATTGGTAACTGAAGATAAGGGATAGTCAAGATAGTTAATATTTTTCTCTTGCAGCCGGATGTATTTATAGCAGATCTTGATGTCGGACGAGTGATCTGTCCTGAAAATCTTCCCCTTCCTCAGATTCCTCAACCCTTCCTCACTGAAGCTATTCAGAGCCTCTTTCACGTAAGTGGTCATTTCAGTTATTGACATCTAAGAAAGAAACGCACAGTTCTAGTATTTTTCTTTATTGAAAAATGATTTTTTGTGTGTTAATGATCAAGATGGGAGAAGATATAGTAATTTCAGTTATGGTCAGTTTTGACCAATTAAGGACAGAGTCGAGTCAAATTACATTTAAGTTCACTATGGGAAGTATCTACGGAAGGTATTCGTGACGATCGTTTGGGTAACTCACATTGCTAACCTGAAGCAGCCAGTACAGTTAGAAATCCCTATTTCTTAATGTGTGCCGATGAAGATCAATCTGAATGGCAGACGTACACCACCACCACTGACACACGAATTGAACAAATAAGAACCACTTTTTTCTTGAAAATATTATATTAATATGTGAGTTGGATTTCTCTTATAAAATTTGCATATCCACTCTTTTCATAACTGTAGATTCTGAGTCCGGATCTGCTGACTGCAGACAACGTTTACCCACCCCGACCAGAGACTATTCCCAATCTCACCCCGGATCAGGTTGATAAGAAACTACGAGCTGTTTTCCTGCGTCTCTTCGCTTCTATCTTTGCTGGATATAGATCCTGCCTCACAATAACTCGAATCCACCCGCAACCTGTTATTCACTTTAATCAAGTAAGTCGTGCGTACTTTTGGGGCAAAATGGAGTCAACGTTTTTTTTGTGCGTGTTGTAATTAACAGTCTATTTTGGCAATTAGTAAGCGTCGTCCACTATTTGGACCTGGTATGTTTGCGCAGTTCACTCTCTGTGTGTATATTATTAATTTCAATTTTGTGCCATCGATATTGTTAACCTCGCAAAGTTTCTGCGTATATCATCCCTACCATAATCCAGTTTTGAAATGTCACATAAACAAGGTTCAATTCCTATCGATTAATAGGGTCTATCTGCAAGGATTAAGAGGATTAGTATATGTAATTAATGGAGATATGGCGGATTGGGAGTCAATCGTTCAGGGACGCAGATGACATTTTTTATCCCTTGAGTTTATTTGGTGAAATTGAGCTTCATGCGCATTCACTTTCAGGTACAAATTGTATTCAATGCATTTCTTCAAGAACATTTTATCTCAAGGTGTTGCTGCCTTTTACTTTTGTTTGAGCAATTCGATATAATAAATGAATTATTTAGTCTGATACAATTATGGTTTAACTATTTCCTAGGTGTCATCTGTATATGACAGAAAACCTGTGCTAATTTCACAAAGATATTATATATACATAGATGGGATGATAAAGATATTTGCATTATGAGAGGATTTAGTAGACATCAATGTTTCAAATTCTAGGCTGGGTAGATTATTCAGGAATTAGACGACCGGACTGAAATGATGAAAATAGGATAATTATCAAGTTCACAACGAGAATTTTTTTCTACTTTATGTATGTCCGTTTATTAATAAAGGGGTGAGACAATATAATAGAAAGATAAAATCAACGAGGGTGTATGAATTGCAGCACATGTGGTTATAGATATTGCCTGGATTCATTGAATTTATTACAATTTCATGTTCTTTCATTATTTATATGTCAGTTTCCCATCAGATAAAGGTAATTATCCAAGTTTTAAAGCAGCCTTTATTGCTGTCCGTACTATTAATTACCGAGGTGGACAATCAATCACTTCTAGGGTTTTTATTAGTTTCCTCTTACAATTACCTTCATGCAAAATGCCCCAAGATTTTTTTTGTTAAGTAAGGTGGAAAACAAAGAAGTGCTTAAATTACTTTCTGTTCTAGCTCTGTTCTAGATTGTGCTCTGGGGGCGCACGCATTCTAAATTAGAGCTCTTACACAGGAGCATGTTAGTTGCTCCGCCATTGGATTTTCTCGCTTAAAAGGCTTCCCATTTATGTTTGCCAGTTTTCGATAACTTCCATCATCATCGCCTATATGAAGGCATATTTTGTGAGTTTAGGTTCTTTATTTCTGCAGACCTTACTGCCCAAAACCTTAATTTGTGAAAGGTTTATGCCCTCTGCAAAGTGATAGATCCGTTTTGCGTTGAATATATTATGACTTTACTCCCGTTTCTTCCTAGTCACTGTTCCTGGTGCTGCGAGGAGTTAATGAACCCGATGACTTCTTTGATCGTCTACTCTCTAGCATGCGTTTCCATCAATTCGTGCTTGAACGTGGACCGCCCTTCCGAATGTGTGATCTCTTCGACGAGGCCTATGACGTGGCGAGAGCAAAGGCTCAACCCCTTGTGCCCCAGTTTGTTGCTGATACCTCCTTCCCTGACATGGATTATGAAGCTTTTGTGGCAGATTTCACCCAATCCCTCAATCGCATTGCTCAGAAGTTCATGGATAATGTGAGTTCCAATCTGGTTTTCTCTTTGCATTAGTAGCTGTAAATCTTTAGTAATTGGTCAATATTTGTAACTCTCACATTTTGAGGTGTTTTTACTTCTCACATTGATCATCTTTGTTTTGTCAGGACTTCTTAAATCAGAGTATACTGGCCTTCTAGTGCCATGACGACAAGTGTGCTATGCCCATCACATGCATGTCTATTTGCTACTTACTTACTCCTCTATCTTATCTTGAGTATTGGAATTGTCCGATGTCTAGTCTAAACCTGAATATCTAGTCAATATGCAAAACGAGTTGATCAACTTTTATCATTCTCTTGCTGCTAGGCAATACAGATTCAATTTCCCCCATTGCAAATGGAATACTTTTACATTTGCAGTCAGAGCTCTCAATAAAGGTGCTATTTTCTCCACATTTAAACGTGTATGTTAGTGTCAAACAGTTTTTGCAATTTATAGATATACTGTCACGTATGTATATGTAACGCCAAGAAACCACGGGTGAAATCTACTTAGACTCTGACAAATTGCTAGAAGATATTAACTGAGGCTATACCTATTGATGAGGGCATGGAGAAATCAAGCAAAATCACTCATGTTGCAAAACCTTGACTTGGTTGATAAAATTGGGATCTTTATTTGTCCGCTTTTAATCAACAATCACAACGAGAACTTAAAGCATTAGAATTCTCAAATTGATTCAGTTTCATCAATCAGAAAAGGAGGTTTGTGGACTCCAACCGGGCACACCAAAAATATTCCATTCGGATTCCCAAAACTACTTGCCATAGATGCAACAACGAAGTAATTCGTTGGGCAAGTACCCCACTAAACGTAAAGTCAGTATAGGGTGGAAACGGTTTCATATTTGAAATATGTGATGTATTTGTGAGATAAAGAGCTTTTCACTCAAGGTCACGCAACTAAATGACTAATGCACTGAAAGATGCATTTGATACAGCAAGTCAGCAGCATCAGCAGCAGCAGAAATTCGTGAGATGGAAGTTAATCGTGATCAAGTGCTTTCACAAGGATGGTATTAAAATAGAAATTTAGCATGAAACTGCACTTTTTGCGTGAAAAAATACTTTCCTGAATACGGACTTTATAATTAAGAAAAGGGTAGCTTTTCTACTCTACTGTATGCATATTTTCATACACTCATTCTAAGTTCAAGACAGTGTAGCTAAGTGAAATTAATGTAGTTTTCTGAATGCGGACTTCATAACTAAGAAGGGTATAAATAAAAGGCCGCCCTGAGTTCTCTTTTCAGTCGACGAGAACTTTTAATTCACACATCTTTTTTTCCATTTCTACATTCGATATTATCCTTAACAATAATTTATTTTAATCACTGTGGCATTAACATTACGTAGCTTGCAATTGAGTGAAAGATATCGGTTAAAATAACCAAAGAAGAGTTATAGAGGACCCTGTTGAAGCAGATAATGAAATCTGTTTCTCCAGAAATTGTCGCATTTACTTCACTCGAATTTGTGCGATTTGTTCTCTTTGTTCACCAGGTGGGTTCATATCCGCTTTACCCAAAGCTTCTTTGACCAGTTGAGCCATGTCTCCTCAATACACTTGTTAAAAAGAGGTGTTTTGGAGTCTTTTGCCTTTTAATGTCCCTTCAAATGCATAATCGCGTAAAATTATTGTATTTATGTAGTAGAAGGGCTTTATTAGCCACGAAATTTCTTTTCCTAGAGCAATCTCTCCATTTCCTCCGTATTGTGCAAAAGCATAGTTTGAAAATATTCCAGCGCTCTATTCTTTGTACATCTACTTTCTCGTCCACCCGAAACTGCTTTTCCCAACACGTCTAACCTTTCTGTGTATTTTTCCCTCTCGTGCTAAGTGGCTAGCTGGAACAGATAAAGTGGCCTTAGCCAATGAATATCGATATCTCCCTTGGTCCTTTTTTTTCACACACTACTGCATTATCTGTTGGAGCAAATAGTACACTGGACACTATCTATTTCCTTTATAGTTGTCCTATGGTTTATGTATCCTATATTGCTCTTCAATTTATATCATAATTTCTTTATTAATTGATGGGCAGTTATAAAATTCAAATAATAGAGTAATGTTCTTATTTTGTATGGTGGTTCATCCTATTTATTGTTCCTTTCTTGTGGCTTAGACCGGACATCGGTCACCCTATCATCGCGTGTGTCAATATTTTTCGCACGTATCCGTTAAGTCGACGTGTATATGGTGCGTCACGCTTCTGATTGAAATATTAGTTATTTACGGAAGTCTACATTGCATACATGGTCTGCTTGGATAGAGTGAAATCGGACTTTCCAGGGTTTTGTACTTTTATCTGCAAGAACTCGAGCTCTTCACCTAGTTCGATGCTTAAGAGGACCAAGGAGCTTAGGAAATAGACATAACACAAAATTCTATTTGTTAATTCTGTTGAATTTCCGAACTTGGATGGGTTAAATTAAACAGACCTAGTTTAAATTAATGCGTATCTATATAGCTGGCATTAGACGTCTAAAGCAGTTACCGTATGTTTCATTTTGATTATGTTTAGTTAAATACATGGTAACTGGTAAATAATAGATGGGAAATGGATATATTATCTAACTATTGTGTAGAGATATCTACAGAATACAATTCATTATCAATGAATTCACACCCATCCGCGAATGCTGTCAAATTGGAATATACAAATTTTCCTTAATTTTGTAGAATGCAAGTGATCAATTGATGAAACTAAAGTCAATACTCATAATGAATTCCGATCATGTACCATTAATCAAAACTATTAATTTTCTCTCTACGCAGGAGAACAATGAATCCAACCCTATTGTTGACGTTCTTGAAGACGAGGCTATTGAAGCCCACAACCGTCTCCATCATCGTCCATTCCCTCGTCTCAACGCCCAGAAAGTGGACGATTTTATTAAATCCGCTCAGCAACATCGCAGCCAATCGTAAGTTCTTATTATTACTGATTTAACTATTATTAACTCTTTAATCCCACAGATCCATATTCATTTTGAGCAAAGAGAGGCTCTCGTTTTCATCATCCAGTCTTTTGACTAGATTAACTGGGTATACGCAAACAGGTTTCGCAGTGCTCATGATAACTGCTGATACCTCAAATGGTTAATTCAAGACAACTTTTTTTTTCAAAACTCTTTAGTTTTTCTCTAAGTCGGGAATTTTGTTGCTAATTATTGCATAGTCGTATTAATTGAATCATCGGCTGAAAGATGGGAATTTTTAATTGCTTTGGGATATATCCTCTAGGTCTATTTTTTGCCAAATTGAATTCCCAGTTTACTTTTTTCCCCTTAGGGTGAAAAGAGAATGTTACTTCTTGTTCTTTAGCTCAAAATATGTCCAAGCGACTGATTTACTTTTACTTGTTAGAGTAACTGCTTACGAAATGCCCATAAGACGACATATCTCTGCGTTATCCAATTAAAGCTGTTTAGATATATTTACAGCACACACGCCCGACGACAGGTGCGGCCTGCCTCAAAAAGTGTGTTTATCTTTAATCCGACACTGAGATTTTAATGAATCTAATAGCAAATTCGGAAAATTTTACCGTTTGCATTATTTTTATCTTTAAAATAAGGGTCATCCAACTGGTCTGGTCTAGGGGATTGGGACTGTAACTGTCGTTCCTTCGAAAGATGCGAATATTCCTTTGTGTTATTTTAATCCATTTTATTATCAATTCGGTAATTTTTCCTCGATTTTTTTTAGTTCGCTATTGACCTTTGAGGTTGAAGAAACACCTCGAATTGTACCCAAGGGTGAGCAACTGGATCGTCATGCCTTTAAATCTGAGTTACCAGCTGAGAAGTGTCGAGTTATCCGAGAATTCGTCTCTGACATCTTTGACCTGCATATCACTGAAGCCCTAAAGGTATTTACTTTTTTATTCAGTTGTGTTATTTAAAATTCATCACTATCCCATTACCTTTGCTTGCCAAGTCACCCTTATCGATTGAATAGCTTATACCTGCCTTTATCAAGCGGTCTCGTACGTGTCTGTTCATACGGAGCCTCTTTATATAACAGAGGTTTTTGCTCATCATTGCACTTCTCTCCAGCACTTCATAAGTGCGGTGTTTTTAGCTAGCGAATGTCTTTAAACACCCAAGTCTTCTTTTGTATGCAATCTACATTTTCCAGCACTCATGTTGGGTAGAGGACTAGCTTCATAAAGTCCTCCCTGTAAGAAGCCCACATACTCTTACTAGTTTATCTATTCTGCTCACTAAGTGTGCACCAATTAGCTTTGGAACCACGAGAACTGACTTCAAAGTCGAATGCCATAATCCCTTGGCCATTGGAAATAGACGTAGAAAGAGTGTTTTATGATTCCATCGTTACATTTTTCAACCTTTCTTTTATATTATTCAGAGACGAAACACAATTCGACAGGACTTGAAATCCCAGCCCTTTCGTCGACTCTTTGTAGACGAATTGTGCAAGAAGATCATTCCGCCCACGTCGTCGTTAAATGGCATTTCTCCCAACAATTGCCCCGAGAGTCTTATTATGGAATTCGAACGTCGGGCATCACTCAATTGGGACCAATTCGATGTTATTGTAGGACTACTTGATGAGGCATTGAGGTATGAGGGGATGTCGTATAACACTGTCATTGCTCCGTTTGTTCTGGAGTTGGCCACTCGAATTAGCACGGTAAGTAATATATTCAAGTATTTAGAACTGGATGATAGAATTAGGGCTGTTGAATATACCGTAGGAGAACCTGCCTAACTTTAGTCTGCTTTGTTTCTGATTGGATGCGGAAGTAGGAGTTTTCAATGCCCTTTATCATAATTCTTTAAATTCTGTAAACAAAATCCGATCATCCGTCAATGGATTTATCAATTACTTGTCTTCAGTGTTCTCACTTAGTAACTCCACCAACACTGACTATGCAGTCACTTAACGCAAATGTTTGACGTTTCACGTACTCAGTTGTAGTTTATTAATCTGGAGAGAAAACTTAGGTTTAAAGTCATTCTCCAACTTTACACTCTGAACTATATTGACATTGCAAACTTCAGAGTGCAACGTAGGGAATATAGTTTCATTTTATTTATTTTCTAATCTTCTACCATACTTGTATTTTCTTCTCAGTTCACAAATTTAAATGGTATTATCAATATCTCAAGACGTTCGAACTTCTTTATTTGGGGCAAATGTTCTAGTAGTATATTTTGCTCTTTTAGCTATTTTGATATCTTCTTCTTTAACTTCTTTCCTTTGGGTAACGCCTAAAGGAACTAATTTGCCTCCAAAGTCCTTTAACAATTTTGTTTCCCATAAAGTATCTACAGCAATTTATTTAATCTCTAATTTTAGCTAAAAATGCTCCATCATCAGTATTTACAGGATTGACCTCTCGATAGTTAAAAAAATGTTTTCTGTTTGCTAGTTGTTGCATGGATATACTCTAAGCAACACCAATTGAATTTGCGGCTTATAGTGAACCATAGCTGAGCACTGACCCAAGCTAGTAAGAAAAGTCTGATGTGCGTGCGTGTGTGCTTGTTGGTCATAATGACCTCTGGCGATTGCATTTATACCACTACTGAGAGGTCAGAGGTGTTATTGTTTACGCCAGCTAGATGTCTTTTGGGTGACGTAGTATGTCATGATATAAATGCATAATTAAGTTAGGTGCAAATAGTGCAGCTTGATATTACAGACTTTTAAAGTTCTGTTGCATTAAAAGCTTCTCTGTTATCATTTAGCTTACTCTTGGCTGCCAGAAGAGACTGGTCATTCAAATAGCATGACTACAAGCGATCGATCGGAAACTTCTACCCCTTGTTTCTATCGCTTCTCGAGATTGAAGCAACTACCCCCCATTGTTGCAACTTGAATAACCTTGCTTTTTTGTGTATAATTTGTTTCAATTACTCTGTTACAATTTGGACTTGAATGTCATGTTTTCTAGTGTGACAAACAGGTTCTATTTATTGAACCAGCAGTGGAAGAAGTAATTAATGTCATTTCATCATCTTGTTCGTTAAATTTAAATTAAATTAATGCCTAGTAAATGGACACGCTTACCCAGCTCGCCTTTTTCGTGCCTATTCGCAGTTGTTTGGCTCTGTGGCCTATTTTGTTATTTGGTAAAATAATTGTAGGCAACGTTTGTTATTCACTCATTATCCGTTTAGCCTGCTTAATCATAGATCATAGCTGAGTAGATGAACCTCATTTTAAGACGTCAAAGTTTTATTTGCTTCTTTGTTCTAGCGGTAAAATGACCTTGCATTCGTGAGAGATTGTTTCTGCTTTTCATTGGTAGGAAATATTTTCCCCCAACTTAGCCTACAACTTGACCATTCGTATTAGCTACTGTTTTTTTGGTTTGATTTGATGCGAGAGCAATCTTCTAATCATAAAGAAACCACAATTGTAATGACAATTGAAAGTTCAATATTGAAGGAAGGTGGTTCGCAATGCATATAGGCAAAGTTTTTAACTAGAAATTGAATTTCTATCTCTTCGGTACTGGTTGGTTCCTAATAATTGAAAAAAGAACGAAGAGGCAGAGTTATTTCTGATCGAAATAACCTGTTCAATCATATTCTTATTTAAAACTTGCTTGCATGTTTCAGCAACTTGGTGGCATGCGATATTTCGCTAATATGACCCATCACATCCAGCGCCATCGAATTTGGTCTGAGATGTCCTTTTGGGAGGATGTTTTCAATGAACAGGTCAATAATCAGATTAAACAGCTCTATATTCATCAATCTGAGGAAGAACATAGGAACGGAACTCCGTCTGAAAACCTTCCGGTGAGTGTCTGTTTCGGAATTTGTACTTTGTTTGTGTTTTGCCAAGGAAGTCTTCTATTCATATACATTTTCGTAGGCCAGCTCTGAATCATTTGATCGGAGGCTTTTCTTAATGGAAACATTTCCTCACAATTTTGTTGCATTTGAAATAATTATCTAAAATTACGCATTGGGTGGTTGCGTGGCATACGTTATTTTTTAACTTTCTTGTTGTGTTCGATATGAAAGTTTTTACTCTAACATGACTGACGAACGTTTGATTAAAATATTAAAATTGCGATTGCCGCAGAGGGGGGGGGGCATCATCGATCCTTCTCTTTACGATCAACGTCAGCCTTTATGCGGTGACAAATCAGTGTGTGTGTGTGTGTGTGTAGGTGTTGCATTCGTAATGATTGCTATTATTCGAATTCATGGTGTGTGGTTGTCATCGATGTGATTAAGATGCTCTCAATTGCTGCTTTAGCCGTTTCAACTCACGCATTCTTTCATTTATGTTTACACAACCATCCAGTTTTTTATAATTTATTTGTGTTAAATCAATGGTATGAATTTTGTGTGGGTGCGTAGTAATTTGATTTTTTTCGAAATTGCACACGCAATGTTTTACATTTCTTATTGGAGATAGGGAGGGGGTAGGAGTAGATGCATCCGGTCATCAGACAAACTATTAGCTTAAGACTCTCTTATGCAAAAGCATGTTTATGCTATGGTTTGGTACTAGCACTGTGTTGAGAATTAAGTGATTCCGAAACATTCGGGCTGTCAAAATATCAGTTTATATTGTAGTAACTGCATAAATTTGCGCTTATCCTTTTTAGTTTCATGTTCTTACCATTTTCTCAGTCATTTTCAAATGAATTATGGCTTTAACTAATAGGTGTGACCCATTTATAGTCATTCAAAACAATCTGATTGTAATTTGTAAAAGCCTAGTTTTGTAACATCTCAGGTGCCCATTTTTTGTAAAGCTTGGCTCTTCCATGCTGCAGTAGTGTTTAAATATCTAGTTCTGGTGTTATCGTTTTCCGACCACTAGATATCGTTAGTTTATCATTGTCTCAGACTAGAGAAAATTCAGACTGAATGCATTTATTTTTCGCCATACAGCATACAGACTTTCAGTTCCAAAGAGTACTACGCCCCCGTATGTAGATAAGAATGATGCATGACTTGAGACAAATCATGGAAATTCATCACTCATTAATCTTGGTATATCCGCTTTCTCTCTACACGTGATATAAATTTTGCCCTCTTCGTATATTACATAGTTACAACTATTTATTACTTCTTACCTTAAAAAATCTTCAAGAGTTTGAATTCTAGGGAATTTTTTTCGGTCTTAAGAACATGCTTTCAGTAGTTAAGTCAGTCGGCTTTGGTCCTTCCAAATGGTGTGCACATGTGTTCCTTGGTTTGCGGTTAATTTATTCCTCAAAAAGAACTGAGACTCACCTCGTCATTCCGTTATCCTTTTCACTAAACAGTGGGCCTATTTATAGCTGTCTTATAACCGAAGCGTCAGAGGCAGCTTTGATGGCGATATTTTATCGGGTTTCTTGGGAAAACGTTTACGTGGCTACTTTTCCTCAAGTCGACTACAGGGGTGACGTGTACGCTCTAAATTAATTGCAAATTTCCAGTAGAGGTGTTCCAATGGCAGTTGGTGCTACATTGCTGATTGTATATTGCAGGTTTAAATACAGTGACGCTGATGACGATTAAGTGTATTTGAAATTTATTGAGATTGGTTAGTTAATTTATTGAACTTTCAAGTCACAGTTGCCGCTTACTTTAATGGAATGTCTGCCGTGGTTTGGTTCTCTTAATTAGGTTATGGGGGTGGTTATACAAGAAGAGGAGTTCATTCCAATTCTTATATACGTGAAAAAGGGGATTGAAGGCCTTAGTTAATAATTGACGCTTCTGCAAACTCATAATTGCGCAAAATATCTGTTTTGGCAGTAGTTAGTCAGGCATCTGCGACTGATGACGTGGATTTAATCACTTTACCCCACTTGTCACGTAAATATGCAGAGTTAGAGAATTTATATGTACCCTTAACATCTCAATGGTCTTGATTCTGTCCACTCTCCGTTAATGAAATTATAATACTACGATTGTGCTATGTCCCCTACTAATCGACAAAGTTGAAACTTTGTTGACTGAAAGGCAGTCAACATTCTTCGATCAGCATGCTGAGTCCCTAGTTTTATTTAGGAAAATTCACATAGGAACGGTTCTAGTGTGTTATCTTAGTGAAAAATTGAAATTCACAAGCGGTAGATTCGTGGGGCATGCAGTGTTCACCAATTCGCGCTTTTATGGAATATGGGCTTACATTCAAATAAGTTTGAACACGAGTGGAGTATGCGACGTAGCTCTTCAACAGCTAATATTGCTATGTTGTAAATTCTCGAATCATTTAGTTAAGCACATTTTGTCATTTCCAGCCTTTTCATACTTCGGATCAGTCCGTGCTTGAAATCGCTGCTGAAGAAATGCGTTCAGGAGGTCTTCGTCCGCTCGAAGTTCAGACAAGTCTCCAAAAGCAGGAAGAGGGCACTGTATACGCGCAAATTCTACATTTCATTAATCTTATAGTCAACTTCCGTGTCCCACTGAATGCTGCTGCTCCATTAATCGCCAACAGCGAGCAGTTTGGTGGAAATGGGGTCACTACTCCAACTTCTGATTTCCCTCCTAGTGGATTTGGTGGTAATCATCAACACCAAAGCAATTATCAGCGTGGTGCTTCCAACGGTTGGTCAAATTCTAACTCCAATACCACTTCTGGACTCCATGAACGACGTGATCTACCATTCGCCAGGTTGGTTGGACCCTGTAATAATGATTTCTACTTGACATGAATAACTACTAAAGATCCCCTTGAAAATAAGCTGAACTGAAAACTTCTCATAATGTCTTGTTTATTGAGGGAGAAGTTAATGCAAATTTGAAGATATAAATTTATTTGAGATTTCTGTTTTGGTGGAGTAGTTCGACCTTTTTAAGGTCTCTTATACGCGTGAATATTGTAGCTTAACTCAATTTTAAATGATTTACCACCAATCGTTTCATAATTGTTACAATTTTAGGCTACATTGCTCTGTTTAACTGTAAGGGAAGCTTATTTAACAAGCTGTTTAAGTTTAAAAATGAAATATTGCTATATACCAACAAATTGGTATGTGATTAGATTTATGGTAATGGTAGACAGCACGTCTACTTGATTAGAGATCTTGAAATCATCGATCAACGTCCAGTGACATGAATAACCAATCATTTTCTTAAATTCCTTGTAAAAGGGGTAGTGGTATAATACCATGGACTCAAGACTATCTTCTTTCGACCCAAACCTAACATTTTGAATCGACTTGGAAAGTTTTCAACCTGTATTTTTAGCCTCTTTTAAATGGGCTTCACATTATAAGCTTGTTTTGATTTACCTACTCCTTGTTAATTATGACAATTCCAGCCACTGAACAAACTATGTTTGGTCATAATTGCGTTCTAAATCGGATACTGGATCATTTCTTCGATTAAGTCAAGGCTTAATTATGATTTGAATGGATGTAAGGCGTCACTAGAAGCTAGTTAGTTAAAAGGTCTATTTTTACCTGAAATATTTTGAATGAAGGCTTCCTTTTATACCTCTATTTGTTTAATTAGCATACCTCCATCTTCTCTTTCCCCTCATTCTCACTAAAGCCCGAGGATATTTAGACGAAGTAACATCCACTCATCACCTTATCAATACGCGTGAGTACATATTCGGACACCCATTTGCATATGCTTCTCTTTTTCAATACTTTTTGACTAATCGTGTATGTGAGTATGTGCGCCTTGTGCATGCATGATCCATTTTTTGGTGTCCCCTTAGTAATTCTTAATGTGCGCATTTCTGGTGCTTCGAAATGTCCAGTTTATCTCGTTGGAATTAGTAATGCATGCTTTTTTCGATGCACCTTGAAAGCAGTATTTCAGCACTTTGAAAATATTAGATGCTTTTGGCTTAAAAGTATTTTTTTATTTGTTGCGGAAGTTTAAACTCGAGTTGTTGAGCTTCCATTTAACCACTACTCTTCCAAAGTTAATAATTCCAATGGCATAACCGGAGTGTACTTCTAACCTTTGATAATAAATTTATAATTCAGAATTTTAGAACTCAAGCACTTTAGTTCATCAATCTATTTTGCCTTGCAGAGTTTAATCTTTTATCTAGTCTTAACGTTGAATTTATGCTTCTTTCCTACTATTTCTTTAATGCATAGAGAAAATGTAAGCGAAGTCTCCGAAGTCCCCAATGGATGACGTTTTGATTCATTTATTGGGCAAATCGCCACCATTTACATGTATAAATGGGGAAAATTTGACGAACGAGAGAAGTCAATCGTACTCATACATGGTGTATGCCTTAATACCACAATAGGTAACCATGGTAACTAATGTCCATTCTATTACAATATCTCCAATGGCTGTTTCAGTTCTAGCAACCCACCCGATGATGAGAAATTTGAATTTTAATGGCAGCCGATGAAGAAGCCAGCCTTTTCTTTAATGTCAATGAAGTGGTGTATGTGCATGTTTGGGAATAGTTAAGAAGTTAAATCTGAACTTGTCATGTATTCATTGATGCCAAACAGGCATATAGTGATTGAACGAATGTTTCACCTTTTATTTGTCGCTTTGTTGTCTTGTACTAAAATACAACGTCTGTTATCTCCACCTCCTCAATAAACATTTGTGCTTTAATGACAAAATTAACCACCATTCGGAGAATATATCATGTGAGGAGAATACAGTCTTGTGGAAAATCCAAAATAGAGTTCCTCTATCAAACGGTATTAGTTTAGCTTGGCCGAAATCGCCTATTCAAATAAATTGCGTTTTTTTCACTCCGTGCTTAAGGCCTTATTTACTGTCTCTTTGCCGGTCGCTATTTTAGACATATTTGCAGTGAGTTGAATGCCATCTTATTATTGCGATTTTATGCCAGTTCGGGGCAGTCTGACTCACTCACTGAATTGGATTTTATTTGCGTGTGCTTCTAGAGATTATTTTCGAAAATTTTCACACGTAATCATTAACATTTCGCCAACTAGCGAAACGAATTAGTGCTTTAGCAGTGTATCACTAGCATGAAATGCATTCATTCTCTCTTCCTCCATTGGATTGGCAAGTGATTACAATAAAGTTTTATTGTCCTGAAATAAAAATACTTGTTGTATACATTTCTTTGAGGCATTTCAATATCTATTTGCTGAGCAATCTCAGTGCTAATATTCATTAACTTTTTTGAAACTGTTGCCAGATATCAATTTACTCATAAGGGCATTTTGGTACCGTTAAATTTGCATGTATCATCTTAATTAGAAATACTGACATGATGTTTTTAATAGAATGATTTCGTATACATTGCCCTATACGTCAATTAATTACTTCATCATGCAATTGTCCTCATTGCTCATTCCAGCACCCTTCCAGCATCTTCCTACCAAAGTGAACGAAGAAGTGTTTCCCACATTGGTACTACTTCCCTAGGAGCTGGTTCTCACCATCACTATGATAATCATGGAACTAATTCACCATCGACTGTAGTGGCAATGCCTCCCTCATCTAACACACGTGACGGTAACGATGCTGTTCTCGCGGAACTCGCTGAATGGATCTGCAAATTTGTGGAGAAGGTGGGCTCTGAGAACTCCCTACCCGAGTTAAGCATCTTGCAGATTACTAATAAAGTTGATAGTAAGTTGCACGTTATGCTTTGGTAGCTCCTTTAGTATCTTTTTTAGTGGTTACTGTATACTGGTGGTTTATTTTGCTTTAAGGTATTCTAGAGGGCCATCTTCTCAATCTGATGGATATCTACCCGGAGGTGAAGAAGATTCCGAAGATCAAGAAGGCAAATAATTTATTTTGTGCACATAGTCATTTTTTATTTCTTAAATGCTAGATTTTGATAGTGTAGGCACTTATTACGCCATTTCTCATATTCTCTACTTAATTATAGTGTTAAATAATAAATCGAGACTGCAATGGGATCATTCATTGAGATTTTTTTCCTATGCTTGTGGAAATCCCAAATTCTGTTGACGTGACTCAATTTTTATTAATTACTATTGACATAAACAAATCATTTTTCTAAGTAGTTGTATCGGATGGGTCTTTCATTGATCCTCTTGCGTATTTGTGTAAGGTATCTTTCGTACCTCATCCTATAGGGCTGAAACTGAGTTTTTATTCGAACACCTTCCATCCGATTTGATGACCACCACAGCAAGCGAATTGATCTATTAGCTACATTAAACCTTGGATGTATATTAAATAGCATGAGATCATGAATATATACGCTTTGTTCTTCATTGCTTCCGTGACTTCAATCTATGGCCAGAATCTATTAACAAGTCTTATTTTGGTCTACGATATTGATTTTACAGTTAACTGAATTAATTACTTATTAATTCTTAAATTAGTGTCCTTTTTTACTAAAATTCTTTACTTAAAATTCTTTTTGATACTTCCTGTCATCTCATGAACATTAAAATAATGCTCTGGCTTAATTTCAATTTTTTTCAGCCGGAAATTGCAAACCCAGCTCTTTTGATGGGTGAAAGCATAATTCGAATCTGTGGTTTGGACCGATTGCCCTGCCAACTTCTTATCGATGGCCGAATGGAACGAACGGGAGGTGATTTGTGCCGATCTGATCCCATGAATGTGGTAGATCTTAATGTTGGTGGTATTAGTACCAGCGCTGTGAGCGGACATGAAATTTTTAATGAGGAAGTGGATAGTGTTAGTCGTACTCTTTTACCCGCACAAGGAGCTCTTTTTGTCACCAACTATCGAGTCATCTTCATTGGTGTACCAAAGGATCCTTTCCGTAAGTTGAATCCCTATTACATAGTGGTAAATACGTCATTAGCAATACTGTGACTCTAAGTGTGATTCTATCCCACTGATCACAGCATGAGTCATAGTTAAAGATTAGATTTTGGTAATACATGAAAATTTCAGCTGTTATTACCTCCGATTGGTATTCTTTCGTATTGGTTTTTCATCGTCTCTTGATTGCAAAGACTAAGGGTTAATTTTGTTACATTTCATACGAAGATTTGGTTATATTTGATTCATACTAACCAATTCATTAAAATGTGAATGAATGAAAGAAAAAATTGCTTGTGATGGTTCACTCAGACAAATTTCTTTGGTTCTAGAAAAAGACTCGATTGAAATCCACTTGCTTCAGACTGATATTTTAGTCGTTAAAACTGTTTTTTAATGTTATTTTGCCTGATAATTATTCCGTGGCATTATTTGGAAAGCTAATTGCATGTTTTGAATGGGTTTCATGCCAATAAAGTGAGCGAGCACAGGCATTACTACAGAACCAGGATCATGGTTTATACCACATCGTAATCATTGGGTGCTCGTTTATCATTCACCCTTTTAACATAAATGGTTATTTTGCGTTTTACTGTGAGTTTATTGAATGAAATATATACTAACGAATTGAAAGGTTAAATAGTATTTGCTTTGTTTCCGAGTTCAGCTTACTCTCATTTTGCTGACAACCAATGTCTACCGTGTTCTTTTACACTTCCCTAAGAGCCATTCTAACCTCTTCGGTCACAGTTTACTGGGTAAATTTTGAACAGCCTTGCAGCACCCTATTTGTCCCATTAGAAATTCACCAATGTCAATGTCGTAGCTAAAAGTCGTAGTAACACTATTTTACCTTTTCCGTTTTAGGAATTTTCGCGAAATTACAGCTGCTTTCTTACTTTTGTTCAATTGTTCATTTTGTTCCCTGCATTTAATAGCTTCCTGTAGAATGAACTTTGTATTTTCATTTGACTACATCACGTTGTTATTTTGCTACCTCAACGAATTCGCATCCTTCTCGTGATTGTTGTTCCAGTTTAATCTGGTTTGGGGTTGTCATGCTGTATTTATTCATAGGGTTGTATGCTTTTTTTTAAAATGGTAAATATGCCCCAACCTCTATCTGTTATTTGTTCTAAGTTCACTTCCACGTATCCCGTAATTAGACTAACAATCTGAGAGATTGCCTAGGGGCTAGACAGCTTAACCTTCGTGTTTGCTAAAAGAAATTATATTTCAATTTTGATCCTTAAATGGGTCTCAAATGCGTCTCCTCCCGGTATTTACATTACGCAGTTTTTTGTCTTGCTTTTGCACCAATGATTTGCTTAGCTACTGAATGTTGAGGTTGATCACATGTACCTTCGAAATATTTTTTTTCAATTCAGTAGAGGTTTATCAGAATGTCGCTCTGCGCGTAAACACGTTGAGATTTATTCCTTTTGGTGATTTATCTGTCTGCGTAGGCCAACTATGACCTTGGTGGCTCGAGTGAAGTACATCTCGTATTAACATGTACAAAATTTTTGATTGATCGCACTAATTTTTCCTATTTTTTAGAGTCTTACGCTTTATTATTCTCCATAACGACTTTTCTATAATTAGAATGATAAGTGTCTTCCATTCCCCCTTTATTATATGCTGGGTTGTTGGGAAATTGGCCATTGTTATGTATCTAAAGTAGGGTTGCCAAATTAGCACATCAATCTGCTCATATTTTACACGGATCCCGAATTTTACAACAAACATTGATCTTCGACCTCAATTGGCTACTTTTGTAAGTTTATTTTCATTTGATTTCGTCTACCTGGACCGTTACCTCGCTATGCATTAATCCCATTTGAATTGTGATAGCTTCTTTATGAAATGTTTTCTAAAGATTTGTAAATTGTGAAATTGCAGAGTGAATTGGATTGGCTCTCAGGCCAAACTGAACTAAGTCATCAGTCAAGCGCTTTTCCATACATCTGAGCATTTTTTTCAAGGTGTTTGAATCGTGCTATTATACTTTTTGAAAGCTTATTTTTTTAATAAATGAGAAGCAATTGTAATTTTCATTTCAATTTGACCTTTTGAAGCGAAGATTTGTATTGATTTCTTACAAGTTATTTTGCCCATTCATTCATACATTCCGTCCAGTTTGAATACATTAATTATTAATTGAAAAAACGGTAGTTGTCCATTTGTGTATGCTAAGTCTAAAATCATGAGCCTTTTGCACATCTGTTCGCTACCAGCAATGTGGTTAACTAATTTGTACTCCTCAATCTTGGCTAATAAGGAAAGGGGTAGATTGTGAGAGCTTCTCGTTTGAGTGCCTACAGGATATCTGAATCAAACGTTATGAATGTATGTTTGATGGACTTAGGACGTTTTAGCATTTCTAGCTAAAATCAATTTGCTGATTTCAATACTGTTAGAAAATGTCCTTTATTCACCATCTCGAAGGCCTTTGTTAAAATTAGTGAACAATGGGCTTACGAGATGGAAATTTTTTGCCTTCTTCGCACTAGTGGTAACTTTGTTAATTTTCCTTAAGGTTTCTAAACGAGCAAGAATGTCATCCCCAGGATAAGCATTTACCTTACCGTGTTATTTTTCGTGGTTTCCTAGTTAAAGTCATTATCGTTTTAATTGTGCTTTCTTGTATTTAAACATCATTCTAAAACCGTTGCTCTATTAGCATATTTTGTGTGGACCCGCGATTGTTTTGCTTTGCTATTTACAAATAGACCATCTATTATTTGAATATGGGTAATAAATCAAATCATTTAATACAATGTATCAGTTTATTACCTCCAACTTAAACTATATTTCCTTCGTAGCTTTGTAATTTTCATGCTTGCATACACTCTTAAGGTAGCATATGAATGTCCTCGCGCGGGTACAAAAGCTTGTGTTTTTTTGCTTTTCTACCTGCAGGGATTTAAGAATAGCCGTCCTAATTTACTTCTGTTCTTCCTTTTATTTTCCGTTCTAGTTAGTGACATACAATTTCTGTGTTAATCGATGCAACTGAATTCTTTAACATGCCTGAATATGATCGGTCTCTTGGGTGTACTTTATCTCTTTCACTACTAATAGTATATTGTTTGCCGAATGGGGACTTGTGGATCCAGTAGGCATTGGGGCATGCTCAGTTAGCAATTGGAATTATTCCAGACTGCAACTCATTTGTCCCAAATGGGTATTTGAAAAGCTTGATCTCAACAGACCTTGGTTATCCCGAAGTACCGAGTATAAGCGAGGATACGCGGACTTTCATGCACTCAGTCATTCCGTTTATTTCTCTCACATGATATGAATTTTCATACTGGGCATATTTGGAAATCTAATATAAAATGTAAGGGAATGTGTGCCCCACATTTCTATTCGAAAACCCAACCAACAATTCTTATTTTAAGATCTCAATTGTTAGAGTAAGTCGGCTATTTTCAATTTAGTCCGTAGCCCTTTTATTCGCTAATAGTTGACATTTCGTTAATGGTACCAATTATATCCATCCCTAACTTCCTTTATTGCTATTTACGTGCAGAGTGTTGGTGATAAATTTTACGGATAAATAATTGTGTGTTTTCCAGATGTCTTTAAAAAGTGTTCCCGAACATTACACTCCCTAGTTAGAACTTTACACCACATTTCATACATATCTATGTTGACAATAAGAATGAATGTAACCAACCTGATTCATGGAGGAAAGTAACCTGTGTCATGGTGATTCGTGTCTGAATAAAAAGTGAATGCGGCAAGACCTGAAGACTTGAAATGAAAACTACGAGTCTGCTGTGACCAGAAGAAACAAATTTAAAAGAAGTTCTGGTATGACTGTTTTAGTACTCTGAAATCGGAATTTAGGCTTTTTTACCACACTGAATTGAATGTTTTAGTTTTTTCAATGAGGATAACATTCGATGGAAGCCTTAGATCGGTAGCACTGTTCTTATGATAGGCTATGTCTTATGTTCTCGTTATCGTCAAGTCCTACGGATCAATCTTATGCCAGATAATAAGGTGTTCTTGTGTTATTGCGCTGTTTCTCTCAGAGTGTAAAAAGATACGCGATATATAGAAATTACAGAGACTCTATTAAGTCGAAGTTACTTCAAGAATGTAGATATCTGAACGTCATAATTTCACTCGGTTTTTTAATTATCCAGTTTAATAATTTTCATATTTTTATTGCAGAATCCAACAAAGTAGTGTGTCGCAGTTTCCCAGTTGCTGCACTCCATTCCATCAAGCGGATTGGCAACATTCGAGTGGTTACAACCATTCCCGCCGCCACCTCGATTGCAGCCTCATTTGATATGGGTGGAACTAATAATTTGGTGGTAAAACAGCGTGGAGGTAAACGTAGCGGCGCACCAGTTTCATCCTCCTCCTCTAGTGAAACTTTGGATGTCTACCGTTTGCGAGCACTGACCATGCAGATGATGCGACTGGGCTTTGATTCGGATGAAGTCTCCTCGGAGGCACGGGATGATCTTAGGCGTCTTCTAGTGGATTTGAGATTCCACGCGGTCATTGGATTGAGCTTTAATAGTCTTCCTGCTTCGAGAGCTCTAGACGGAGTGCTTATTACGGATGCACCGAATGGGTAAATGTTTGCTATTTAAATCCAATAGTAGGCTAGTTCCATATCATGAAGTTTTCAAGAGATTGATCCGAGTGTTCAATAAATTTAAATATTTGTTAGCTAAGTGGATGTATAAACGTAGTCTATTTTTGATGAAATTTATTTGCAAGTTATTTTCTATTCTAAAATTTGAACAAATGCAAATCTGCATCATACGTACAGAAATGATGCAATGTGAATTCTGAACTACTTTCACTTTTATAACCTTATTTTCATATTTTAATAAAGTCGCAGCGAGTTTGTGGCCAAACTTTGACTAAAAATAATTCACCACTTGTTGAATTCGATGTATTCTGTTCATTCGTGAAGTCTACTTTAATGTTTGGAAATTGTTCTCGATTATGTTCTTTCCGTCTTTCTCACTCCTTTCTACCTACACAGACGAAGTTGGCTGGATAGGCTTATTCAAAATCGGTTATGGTACGTGTGCGTGTTTTCTTTTCTCGCACTGCTATCGAGTTTCCATGTGGTTGAACTGCTGTTTCGTGGTTCGGCGGCTTTCGCTACTCTATTGTGCCTGTTCGTTTCCCCTTCCCAGCTGCTTTATCAGCGCTTACCTTTTTGCCCGTTCTGAAATTCTCCC